GAGGCGGGAAAGCGGCGTGAGGGCAGCGCGGGCAGGTGCGGGGGGCGGGGGAGATTCAGTTGGCCGCCTCCGTCGGGCGGGACGTGTCGAGAATGCGCCCTTCCGCCCGCCCTTCATCTGCTCGGGCTCTGGCATCTCTGAGGGAGCTGCGGATGCAGCCTGTGAGGAGGGTAACGGGCTCTGGGGGGGATCGGTTTCTGAGGGGATAAATGGCTGCCGGGGAGGGGTCTCAGGTGGTCTCCTCTGCCGTGGGAGGGTGAGGCGAGGGCTGAGGGGAGCGTGCAAGCGGTGGTGGCCGCCCTCAAGTGATGGAGAAGAGGCGGGAAAACGTCGTGAGGGGAGGCGGGGGCCCGGGCAGGTGAGGCGGGGACCACCCCCAGGACACTTCCAGCCCTGTAGATCTCCCACCCCCATTTCCTCATGGGCCCTTTCAAGGCCCTCCCAAAACCCGCCCTCAGCATCTCCCCAGACCCTCATGAACCCTCCCAAGCTCTTTGGGGCCTTTCCATTCCCTCATCAGGGTCGTCACAGAATCTCCCGACCCCCAAAAATCAACCCCCTCAGACCTCCACCTTCCCCATTCCCGCAACCCTTCCCTAAATCCGTCATGGACATTCCCCCCCATTCCTTTTCAGAACATTCACAGACCCTCCTAGCCCCCATAAATTAACCCCTGCTCCAGTCCCTTGGGACCACTCCCAGACCCTTCCCGTTTGGTCGGGACCACCTCTAAGTCCCACTCAGAGCTTCCCTCAGGCCCTCCTGAATCCCCTTCAGAACCCACTCAAACGTCTCAATCCTACCCAAGGTCCCCAGTCCCTTCAAGTATCCCCTCAAACCCCCTCTGGATCTACCCAAATCTCTTCAGAGACCTCCTATCCCCTAAGGACCCCTTCAAGTCCCCTTCAGAGCCAGCTTATCCAGAGAGATGCTGTGGTTATTATTATAAAGTACGCATTTTAAACAAGGATGGGCAGTTATTCCTTTAAAAACTTAATTGTTATGTCTTTATGTGTTCCCATGTGCTTGTAGCTTGTTCCAGCCGCAGAAACATAAGGATGTTATTTTAAACTCTCTAAAGCATCCTAAAGCCAGTGCTGTTTGGGAGATGTGTGTAAACATGGGTTTAATGTTATCAGAAATAAATTTAAAATGCTTTCAGTATTCTTTCTCTTTTTCACTAGGAAGATGGCCTGCTGCATCTTTATTAGTTAAGAACAGGTGTTCATTACAGTTCTTAAAAATTACCAATATCTAAGTACAGTTTCTGACTGGAACTGTTTGGAAAGCAATTCAGTTTAATAAAACGTTTATCTTCTTTTCTTCAAAGATGAAACCTTCTGCAATGAGCAAGCGTAAGGTAAAGGAGAGCAGTGAAGAAAATGCTGTGTCCATTTCCCAGGTCAGTAACATCTTTATTCATTACTTTGTTTTCAAGTTACAGAACTTTTCCACCTTCTGCCATTCATGCTGTTGTATTTTTTTTTTTTCCTAGAGCACTTACAAAGACTTTATGGATAGTGGATACAATTTTTAGGACTTTTCTATCTGTATTTCTTTCAGCTTCTCCTGTTGCTTGCTTCAAGTGTTACAGTAATAATGTAGTAAGAAACTTATAGGATGTAAGGTATTGTGCTTTTGCAACTCTTTGTGGCAAAAGATTTGCATAAATCTATTTTTATCCATTTAGGTTTTTTTATCTTCCAGTTTGTAGAGTGAATCAGAACCCAGGTGACTTTTTTTAGCAGCAGGACAGCAACTGTCAAATTGATATTTAGTTAGTTTGTTTCTTTTAAACCTTTCTCCTGTTTTCCTGAAGTTGGTGGTTAAAAACTGCAATGAATCCTGCAAGGAATTGCCCCTGGGTCAGTGACTTCTTATATTTTAATTTCTTCTAATTGCTTTTTCTCCTCCATATAATATTTATACAGTATTCTACCTGCTGCAAATTTATTCTTACTTTCAAGACCCCTCTCTCACTGATGACAGTAAAGATTTATATATTATAGAATATTTGTAACACCACAAAAGTGCCTAATTTACTGTTATTTTATTGCTGTAGTTACATTATTGGCAAATTCTGGTGTTGGAAGCCCCAGGATTTTTTCCTGTTCTGTGCTTCATCCGCAGGTGCAAAAAATCTTACGTGAAAGATTCTGTCGCCACTGTGCTTCTGGAAAACTGTTTGGGATGAAGCAGCAGTACAGGTGAGTGAGCAGGCTCTAGGATTCAGTGATTTCTAATTGAACTGCAGTAGTAAAATAATCCTGTGAAGTCAGAATTTTCTGTTTCTCTGTTTTACTGAATGACACAGGTTTAAATGACTTACAGTCCAGTGCTTCTAAAAATTATTTGCCTCAGATTTTAAGAGTTTTTATACAACTGCTCCCTTCTGGTTTTGTCAGACTCTGGGTTTTGAATTTCTCGTCCTTGTTTCGCATCTCTCATTCATGAAGCATTTTTGAGACTGAAAGATACTTTCAGTGCATGTTCTAAGACTTCGTGTAATGGCCTGGCAAAACAAGAAGTTAAATCCTCTTGCTGTGATATTTTATTTTTACTTCAGATTGTCTCAGATTTGTTGGTGAACTGTGTTAGAAATAAATCTTAAAATTCCTGTGCCAGCATCATGTTTGTTGAAGTAGAGACCCATATTTAAAGCTGCTTCTGGAGTCATCCAGGTGTGGAATTTAGGGTTAGGAAGAAGAGACTTTTTGAGACAATAACACTGTCCCAGTACTGATCATTTTACAGATCAAATTCCACAGATAACAAACCTGTATTTAAAGAAATTGTTTTAAACAATTAATTTTTCCAAGACTGACTTTATGTAAGTGGAATCACCTGATGTGAGCTCAAGTTTTCATTACAAGAGGAACAAAACCATTTATTGAAACAGTGCACTGTCCATGCAGAGCTCACATAGGCATTTTATTGCTGTTGTGAGGAAATGTATTTCTGTTACGTCACTTTTACAAAACAAGCTTCCCTATTTATACTGGGATTCTGGAAAACAATTTACTGGCTGTGTTCTACTCAGTGTGCCACTGGTAGTGAATTATCCTGGAGGGAAAACACATTGAACTCCCCAGCTCTGATTTTTTTCCTTCCCAAGGTGTATCAGGGCTCTTGGCTGGAGCTGGCTCTCAAATAGTGAACAAACCCACACGTGTTGGCTGCAGCTGCTCCATGAGGACTCTCTCACCCCCTCAGAAGCAATAGCAGGATGTCAGTATCCCATATTCCAAAGGCACATTATTGATGTGGGAGCATTTGGGAATTGGAGGTGTCAGTGGCTGCTGTAAGCGCTTTAAAAGTGGTTTGAGGTGATGAGTCTATCTGCAGGTAATTTAGAGCTGGTGAGGAATAGTGGTAGCACAGAAAGCAATCTATTCCTTAAAGAAATAAATAATTATTGAAGTCTGTCCTTTCATGGCAGAGAATCGCAGAACTTTATGAATTAGTGATACTCTCAACTTCTGCATGTTTTAATATTTTAAAGTATTTTAAGAGCTCTGATCACTGAGCCCTTTGTACTTTATTGTATTACATTTTGCATGCCCTGAGTGTTGGCTTTCAGAGCAAGCCTAAGTGGATTGAGTTTTATTCTTTGAATTTTCCCTGGTTTTGGGGAACATTGTCAGCTTTGAGGTTTTCAGCCTATTTCTGTTTTCAACACAGACATTTGCTGGAGCTGCTGAAAAGAACCACGGTGCATGGGGAGAGTAATTCCGCCCTCATTATCGGGCCCCGGGGATCCGGGAAAACTGCGGTAGGAGCAGCTCTTGGAACTTCGTATGGGGTCCAACAGAACCTCACTGAAGTCCTGGGAGCCTTTGCAGCTACGTTTTCATCTCTCCCTGGTTTTACAGACAGAATTGCTAATGGTTTGCATGGAAATTCAAAACATCCCAGGACTTTCTGTGGGCTAATTCTGTTCAGGAACAGCGTGGAGAAATCTGTTCCTAACACTTGTCTTTGCAATTAAAGCCATGCTCTGATTTCTCTTTAATTAACCTGGTTTGGGGCCCTCACTGTAAAAAGGAGGAAAAGGCATCCAAATAAAAGGAGTAGTCTGAGGGGTGGGTTTCTCCATGGCTGTGTATGCAGGGAATGGTCAGGAATATTGTTACCTGCCATGGAGCAGAATATTGTTTGGTGGTTATGGTTTATAAAGGGAATTCCACTTAGCTGAGGCACATGAGGGGATGGCCTCTAACTCAACACTTTTCAAACCCACATATCTTTAATGTTGACATTAAATGATGTGATGAAAATCTGTGGTCCTTCCAGGCAGAATGTTAGTTAGCAGCATCACCTATGCAGAATGAATTATTTCCTTTTTATATATGAGATGAAAGATGCTGGAATAAAGAAAATCTTGTGTATATTTATATATTTATACTTGCACATAGGTGGGAGCTACAAATCCTCCTCTGAAGAAGCCAAATCAAATAGTAGCCTTTTAATTTTTAAATTTAACATTTCCACTACTTACAGATATTTTAATACAAGTTCCTTTTGGCTTTTACTAGTAACAAGTTCTTGATGGGCAGCAAATTTGGGAGTTTTATAAGCAGCAGTTGGTGGTATCATGTGCAGTTTTAATTTTGTCTTCCAGAAGAAAAGAATAGGCAGAGTTTCTCCTAAGATTTAAAACAGAGAGTTTATTTCTATAGCATCCAAAGAAGCCATGAAGCTGAATAGGGCACCAGCTCAAGAGCCAAATTCTCTCACATCTCAAATTCATAAAGCTTTTTGATGAAGGCAAAAGCCCCAGATATTACCCCAAAAAATAAGTGACTGAAATACCAGAGTTATTTCCCTTTCCCTCCCAGTTCGGTAGAATGAACAAATGTAGTTGCCACAGTCATGCTGGTGAACACAAAATTGTCATTTAAGTATTTTAGTCTGGAAATTACTCAAACATGTTCCCTAATAACACCTCTCATACTGTTTCCTATCCTATAGTATCTGTAATTACACTTTCTTTGCTGTTAAAAGTTAATCTTCTCACAGAAATTCTGTATTTTTTCTTTCCTAGTTATTAAATCATGTCTTAAAAGACCTCAGGGAAATGAAACAAGTGAGTGAGAACCTCTTGGAAGTCCATCTGAATGGCAAGTAAAACATCATTGATCCAGGGTTCTGTTCAGTCCTGTATTTTGTATGTAGAGTAAAATCTTTCATTTCAGCATTTTAGTCCAGCCTAAATCACAGATATGTTTGTGTGTGAGCTCCAAAGTGCCTCTCTTTGCATTTCTTTATATGGAGGGCACTCTGTGCTCTTAGTGACAGACCTAAGTAACTTGGCAGATACAGAAGACTCCTGTCCAGTCTAATTTTTAAAAAGGCAAAGCTTTGTAAGGCTGGAGAGGGAGAGAAGCTGCTGGTTAAGTTTCTAGTGGGAGTGAAAGACAACTGCCAGTTCTTCATGAAGAATCCTTTTCTTTCAGGACTTCTGCAGACAAATGATAAAGTGGCCCTGAAGGAGATCACCAGGCAGCTGCAGCTGGAAAATGTGGTTGGGGACAAAGTTTTTGTGAGTAACTTCACTTACCCCTCAAAAACCCTTTCCTGGGAAACTGGGGCTTTGTGGGATGGAGCTTGCTGGAATGGAATGGCCTGTGACTGCCAGCAGTTCCACACAAGTGCTGAGCTTCCCTTTGCTGATTGAGCAATACTGATGCATCCTTATCATTTTTTTAAAATACTTCAACTTGTGCCTTACAGGAGGGAAAAACAAACTCAAGTATTCCAAAGAAACTCTCTTCAGAGGGGTGGGGAATTTGGAAATGTTGTTTTTAACATTTCAAAATAAAGAATTAGCAAGTTAGCCAACCAAAAAGCAGGATCTTTAATATATTATCAGCTTTTTTTGGTCTATCCTAAAAGGAAGTCTATCCAGGCTTCCTAGTGCTCTCATTTTCCATGGAATTTCTATTAAAATATCTGCTGCTATTTCCCTTTTCCCACAGATAAATTGATTTACATTAGTAAATTAGTTAAATTAGTAAAGACAGTCCTAAAGAGAGTGACCAAAGTGCTTGAAAATAAATTTCCCTCATTTTTTGTAACTCACCTCCAGAGGTTAGATTGTTTTTTCTGCCCCTTTGATAGGGTGGTCTTTAGTTCATTATTTCTCATCTCAGACCTGGAGTTCTGCAGAGTGGGAGAATTTGTGTAACTGGAACAGGATGGGCACAGCCATTCAGTGTTTTTGTCAGAAGTGTTTGATGCTTCCATCAATAAAGTTACCAATTAAACCCTGCATCCTGCTCTTTCCCAGTGGAACACGTTAGGTGGCACCTTTTCCATGTGTGTGGCTGGAAAATGAGGATGCAACAGTTATTTCAGGAAGGAATAGAACTCCTTGTGAATTTAGCTGACTGCAGGAATTCTCCTGATCACTAATTTTTGCCTGTCTGAGGCAGTTTAGGGATTTCAGACTGGGGAGAAAAGTGGATGAATGTAGAGTTATCCATCATTTTTCTTGTCCTGAGGAGTTGATGATTATACAGCATGTAGAAGTACTGTTGGACATTTTTGAAAGCAGAGTTTTGGAAGGAAATGGCCTCCATTGCATGTCTGAATTTGTTGTAGTTAAACAATTCTGAGAATGGCACTGCAAATCTGTTCTGAAACTTCTTTATTCTCTGTCTAGGGCAGTTTTGCTGAAAACCTTGCCTTCCTCCTTGAAGCTCTGAAGAGAGGTAAACACGAAAAGCCCCTGTTCTGAAACTCTGGGTCACTTGACTGAAAAGTGGAGTTATTTTCTTCTGCTCTACAGGTGGAATGAAGAATCTTAGCCCAAGAATGTGTCCCAGTTACAAAATAATATAAAAACAGTTAATACTGGTTACTGAATGTAGAACATACACCTGATACTGATATATAACCCTGATGTGACTGTAAAGGATTGCACGTGATGTTAGCCGTGAAGGACAGATTCTTTTATCCAGATTGATGATATTAAAAATACTGATTTTAAAATGAAATTGGCCAAGTCTGTCTTCCTTGTAGCCACAAATGCTGCTTGGCAGAACACTACAAAACCTTCCCAGTTTTTCCATGTATTTTCCTTTTTGCTGTTGCACCTGTAGGAAAGGAGGGCTTAGTGAAAAGCTGAAAGAAAATCTGTGCATTTTTAACCCCAAAATTAAAGAAAGCTGTAGCAATGCTGAAGTTGCCTTGCTAACTCTCCAAATTTCTCTCAGGAAACCGAACCAGCAGCTGCCCAATTTTGTTTGTCCTGGATGAATTTGATTTGTTTGTCCACCACAAGAACCAGACCCTGCTCTACAACCTCTTTGACATCTCCCAGTCTGCACAGACCCCAGTGACAGTCATTGGACTCACCTGTAGGCAGGTAAGAAATGGCATTTCCTCATTCCAAGTTTTTAGCTGTTTTAAAGTGACTTTTGTGTTAGTTGGAATGACTTCTCCTTCCCTGGAACCTTAATTTCTTAAGAGGCTTTTCTCAATTACCCATTTTTCTAACTTCTGAATTGGGATGGGGATGTAAAAAATACACCTAGTTTGTTCTGAGAGCAAATTGAAGGTGCCCAAAGCCTTCACTTTCACTGCTCAAGGAGCAAACCAACATTTTTGAGGACACACATTCAGTATTTGGCTGTGGTTCACTCTGTGGAGGGCTCCTGCATTTCTTGGTTGGCAGTTTGGCAAGGACAGAGGTGTAGTAACTGTTTAAATATCTTTTTTTTTTTTTTTTTTAAGTAACCATTTCAGCAGAGCACTTTTTGCTAGAAAATTTGAACAGGGTTTAGGATCCCTGTTCAATTTCCTGGGATTTTACAATGGCATTATCTTGAATTGTGTGTACACTGTGAAATAATGCTGGGGAACTCTATGGAAACTTGATGAAACTGATCCTGTTTTCACAATGAACTGTTGGTACTGGAGACAGCTGGGTTATAACAGGAGGGAGAATAATTGAAATTTCTGGGTTTGACTGGGATTAGGTGATACCCAGCTGGGAAAACTTCTGGAAGTTAACAGAAAAGTTAATTGTTGATTTAATAAATTAGTATCTTTCCTTTTGCATCGTCACTGTCCTGAGTCTGGTGTGTTCTTCACCCATTATTTAGAGCCCTTTATCCCCTGCTTTGAGTATAATTGAAGGAAGTGTCTCCAGAGCTGACAGCTGCTGTTTCTGAGGGGTTTTTTTTGGCTCCTGTAATATTTTTTGGGATTTTTAAGCTGTATTCTCTCAGGCTGACAAAAAGCACGTGGCCTGTCAGCTGCCAGCCCTGGTGTGACCACACAACAACTTGTCCAGGGCCCTGATAGGCTGCAAGGTTTGATTCAGCCTTAAGTAGCTGAAATATTTCCATAATCTATGGAGAAATTTTGCTGGGTTTCCTAGCAACAAATGATCCTGTGTGATGTGGAGCATCACGTGGGCTGGGATGGTTAGTGGCATTGCAAGGCACATCAATTAAAATAATCAGCAAAGGGCTTGTTAGAACATTTAACTTACGTTACAACATTTTAAGCCTGAGAATTCAATAATTCTTTTTTTCAGCACACTTTACTTCAGTGATTTGTCTGTAAAGAAAACACCAAATTGATCTGCTTTTTTAATTACTGTTTTTCCTTTTTTTTTTCCCATCAAGGATATCCTGGAGCTCTTGGAGAAGAGAGTAAAGTCAAGGTTCTCCCACAGACAGATATATTTGATGAATTCCTTTGATTTTAAACAATACATTAAGATATTTAAGAAACAGCTTTCTCTTCCTGCTGAATTTCCCGATGAATCTTTTGCACAAAAATGGAATAATAATGTTCAGGTATTTAAAGCATTTTTTACTTGGTTTTAGGAAAAATTCTAAAGTGGGAGCAGTGTAAAGCTGGTTTACTTTATACACATATCCTTTAGTAGTAAAAGTGTAAAGCTTTTACCTAAGATTGGCATTTCCTTTCACTGGCTGAGTGTGAAATGGAATAAATTAAATTATTATGGAGAATCTTTGCTTATTGAAGTCTGGAGGTAAAATTGTCACAGGAAAAACCAGAAAGTTGAGGTTGAACATGAGAATTGCATTGTCAAGTGTAAGGTGAGCTCTTTAAAAAAATTATTTACCTGTTGTTTTTCCAGGTGAGTACGAAATGTTTAGAAATGAGTATAAGATGGTTAAAATACACTTTATTGTTTCTTGCAGCATCTCTCAGAGGATAAAGCTGTGCAGGACGTGCTGCAGAACCTGTTCCAGCACACCAAAGACCTGCGCTCGCTGCATTTGCTCCTGGTGTGTATCTGGGTGTTTATGGAACACCTCCTTGCTTTGCAGGAATGAATGACCAGCTCTCGTGGTTTTCAGGCCATTTAGCTGAGCTTTGCCTGAAACACCATAATTTTATTAATTTTTAAGGTTTATTTATTCAAGTTTTGCCCGTGCTGGCCCCTTTGTCACCCCGTGCTGTGTCAGTGAGTGGGGGTAACTCCCCTGTGAGGGTGGACTGTTCACATGGGGCTGAGCTTTTGCTATTTACCTTTCTCCAAGCCTTCCTATTCGTAAAGCAAAACTGTAGGTGAAACCCTTTGAAACTTTTTCCTTTCTGAAGTTCTTTTCTGATTCCTGGTGAATCCTGAAATCTGCTCATATTGAAACCATTTTTGCTACTTGAACTTCTTCCCATCTCCTCACAGGAGCTGCAGCTCTCCTGGAGGGTCTTTTTTAAATTTAAGCTGCCTTCCTGATTCTGTTTTTGAAGGCAGCTCATATAAACGCAGTGACACTTTTATAGAGGATAAATAATACTTATTTATCCATCCTAAAACACCCCTGTGCTTGTGTCAGTGTGAAAAGCCCCCTGACTGTACCTGGCCCTGGGCTGTGCTGGCTGCAGTGCTCATAGCTCCTCCCTGCAGTGTTCAGAGCTGCCCTGAGGAGCAGAGCCCTCTCCTCACCGCTGCTCTGCTCACTGGGGCTTGGTTACAAAATCATGGATGATTCCCAGGGCAGGGCACCCAAATCTGTTCCTGTGGCTGCAGTGGAGCCGGGGAAGGAGCTGATGGCAGCCCACAGCCTCCCTGAGAGCAGCTCAGAGCTGAGGCTCTGCTTCCCCGTGGTTTTCTGCAGCATGTGCTGAGTTCTTCCTTTGGAAGGAGGCCTTTTTTTTTTCTTCCTCTGTCAACTTCCCAATAAAAGCACGTAATACAGATTCAGGAGGGATGAGTGAGGAGTTCCTGGACAAACTGTGAAGAAGAAAAGGCTCTGGGGAGACCTTGGAGCCCTTCCAATGCCTAAAGGGGCTCCAGGCGAGCTGGAGAGGGACAGGACACAGGGAATGGCTCCCACTGCCAGAGGGCAGGGATGGATGGCATATTGGGAAGGAATTCCTGGCTGGCCCTGGATCCCTGGGAGTGCCCAAGGCCAGGTTGGACAGGGCTTGGAGCAGCCTGGGACAATGGGAGGTGTCCCTGGGTACTAAAGCAGGTGCAGAACAGCTGTAGGTCATTCCTGCAGCAGGCTCTGAGCTGCTGATCCATTGACATGGATATAAACAGGCTCATGAGGATTTATCTCCTGGAATCTGGAGGCTTTAAAGTTTTAAGCCTGGAAAACTTGCCTGGCAAAATCAAATTTAGGTGCCAGCTATCTGCAGTGTTTTCAGGATGAACCTGTGTGTATGGGGATTGTCCATGTTCCAGCAGGTGACAGTTCTGGGGGAATTGTGTCTCGTTCCCAGCAGGAATGCTGTGGTGGCTGGAGGGGTGAGCTCTGTCTGTGTTGCAGATGCTGGCTGGCAGCGCCGTGACCGTGCACCACCCCCTGCTGACGGCTGCAGACCTGCAGGAGGCCAGCAGGCAGCGCAGCACCGACTCCAAGGCAAACATTGTCCATGGTAAATCCCAGCTTCTCCCCAGAAGTGCCCCACGGAGCACGGGAAGTGTCGGCTCCCTCCCTGGAATCCTGCTGGCGGCAGAGGGGCAGTGCAGGGAGTGTTCCCTGTGGGTGAGAGCTGCAAGGCAGTGCCTGTGCCCTGCCCTGAGCTCACACAGGCCTGGGGACACTGCAGTGCCAGCTTTGATACTTGCAGTTCTTGCTTCTTGCTGGGAACCCATTCCTGAACATCTCTGCTTCAACCACACAGCAAACACACGTTCTCTTAGCAATCCTCTCCAATCCTGGCATTTCTTTACATACTAAAGATACAGAGCACCAGTGGGTGAGGCCCAGAGCATGTGAAAATGAGAGTAAGCAGGGTGGGTGAACTGCCTGTGTTTCTGATGTGCTCAAGGGAAACACCTGGGATTCCTCTTTCCCTGCAGGTTTGTCTGTGCTGGAAATCTGCCTCATCATAGCCATGAAACACCTGAATGAGGTCTATGATGGAGAACCATTCAACTTCCAGATGGTTTACAATGGTGAGAGCAATGCCTGGGCTTCACAAACCTTCCACCTCTCACTTCCTTCTTACTGCCCCTATTCTTTTCCTCCTACTGCTCCAGAATTCCAGAAGTTCATCCAGAGGAAGGCACATTCTATGTACAACTTTGAGAAGCCAGTTGTCATGAAGGTGAGCCTGAAATGAGTTTTCTCTGGAATTACAAAGTATTGAGGTTTTATTTTCCAGAGCACAGACTGGGGAGGTTGAACACAGCCCTGGAAGGGAGTGGGGTGTTCTGGGGCAGGAATGATTTCTCATTCCAGTGCCCCTTTTCCTGTTTTAAGGCCTTTGAGCACCTGCTGCAGCTGGAGCTGGTGAAGCCCCTGGAGCGGCCGTCGGTGCGGGCACAGCGGGAATATCTCCTGATGAAGCTGCTGCTGGACAGCAGCCAGATCATGGATGCGCTGCAGGTGTACCCCAACTGCCCCACGGACGTGAAGCAGTGGGCAGCCTCCTCCCTCAGCTGGCTCTGAGCTCCCTCAGGAGGGAATGCTGACCTGCAGGAAGCTGCTCACATCAATAAACTTTTGGAAGCAGCTTTCTTTGCTGATCCATTTGGGATTTTCTAGGGAGAATGGTGCTGCTGTTCCTTTCCAGCAGCCAGAACTGGGCCTCCCTCACACCCCCAGGTACTTTAGCTCAGCTCAGTGCCAACTCTGCTCTCACACTCGGCTCCCACTTGGAGAAATCCAAGCTCTGGAGTTTCCTCCTGCCTCCCCTCTCCATGTTCCCCCATCGGGTCACAGCCCACACTGCATTTTACCATCTCAAATCTGACTTGACATGGAAAATTGACCCAATTAAATCGTTAATCACAACTGAATTTACTTCGTGAAACGTTTAATCCAACAGGCTTCAGCTGCAAGGGCTGTTCTGTGCCAAGTACAAGGTAACATCTCTCCACACCCAATTTTTTGAAGCAAGAGTTTGGCTCAAGCCCTGCTCTAGGACCAGCCCCATGAGTTGAAAATAAAGTTTCTGAAGAAGCATTTGCAAGTCAGAGTAGTCACATTTTTTATTTACCCGCTGGGGAAGAGGGCAGAGTATACATTTGTATTTGTACAATATTTAACAATCACTTTATTGAGGGCGAGGGGGGGTTGGTTGGTTTTTTGGCACTCGCAGAAAAGCAGCAAGTGCCTTTTGACAGTAGTACAACAACCTGTGCCCAAAACACTGACAAATACAAAGAGGAAAGTTAAAATAATCGCTCACCAAACTCGAGAGGTAACGAAGAGGAGATGGACTGAAAAAAAACCAAAGTGGAGGGAGAAAGCAAAGCAGTCCTGCTGGTTGAGTATCTGAGGTAACAGATGTTCCATCAAGGATGCTACTGGAGTCCTGAAGCCAGGGGTGTGTTCTGCAGCTTCCTGTGGTTTGTACCAAGTGTTCCTGATAACAGAAATGTCTTTGAGAAGGTGAGAAAAGCTGGCAAGGGGAGCGGGGGTGACCGGGCTGATGGGAGCAGGAGCAGCTTTGAGCACTGCACCGCGGTGGGTCCGGGGCGAGTCCGTGCTCAGGGGGCCTCGGGAACGGCCCAGCGAGGGCAGCACGGGATCAGCTGAAGATGTGGGGTGGGAACTTCTCCCTCTCACACACAAATCACACCCGCTGAGGCCACAAAGGAAGGGACAATGCCGAAATCCTCCCTAGCACCACATTCCCGGCATCCTGCCCTCTCAGCTCAACTCACTGAATGCTCTGAAGTGAAGCAGGAATTCCTTCCCAAGGCCCTGGGGGCACAGCTGGAGCAGAGCAGCTCGGGGAGATCATTCTGACCGACTGAAAAGCTTTGGGAAGGAGCAGCCTTTCCTCAGGGACGCTACATGATGCTGGTAAATCCCAGGAAGCTGGGAGCGGAACTGGAACTGGGCAGAGAGATCCCAAAGGTAGGAGCCAGCCCCAAGCCCGCAGCAGCTCCAGGGGAAGGGTCACACACAGGAAGGGTTTGGATACAGCTTCAATTTGTGCATCAGATTCCCAGGAGCATGGAATGAACCAGTCCCCGGCTCCGTTTCTGCCAGGGAAGGGTCAAAGCCCCGAGGTGGCCGTGGAGAAGGACGGGGTTGGGATTTGTTCAGGACTCCGGTCCTGTCCTGCTCCGTGTGAAGTTTAATTAAAAGTGGAGCAAAAACAGAAGCCAAAGGGAAGCATCCAGCCAAGAGAACGCCACCAAACGGATTTCCTTCCCTTTTGCAGCGGCCCCTCGGAGCGGGATCCTCGGGCACAGCCCCAGCTGGAACAGCAGCCCTTCCTCCCTCCCTGCCCAGAGCTGCCTCTGCTTTATCCATCACATCCCACTGCTCCCAGGGATGAGGCTCCCAGACCCGGGTTCCAGCCAGCCTTCAGCTCGCACCTGCTGCTTTCCAGGGACACTGGGGGTGGACACGGACACAAGGACACACGGCACACCACGGGCCGCTGCCGGCTCTGTGCTCCAGGGGGTTACAACCTTTATTTTCCTTGGAATTTGGTGTGAAGGATCCAATCAATGCACTGGGACAGGATTTGGGAGAAGCACTTTGGCACCCAGCTACCAGTCACTGTAATTCCAGTATAAGGCTTGACATCCTGAACTCCAGCGCTGGAGTTGTGAAGCCATTTCCACATTTTTCCTCATTTTTTGTGAGTCTGCACTCTGGCCATCGCAATTCCTTTCGTTACCTCGGAATGGTCGTTGCATATTGTGAGCAGAACTAGGTTATCCCTGAAATTTGTAACGTTTAGGATCTGGAATCTGTGGCTAGAACTTTGTGTGTGACTCCAGGCTCAAGCCGTGGCTCACGGGCAGCGAGCGGCGCTCCCCTCCGATGGCACCGAGCTTTGAGAGGAGGGAAGCTGCAAATCTCCAAGCAGAGGGTGAGGATTTGGGGGAACTGAGCTTCCTGAGGTGATCCTGAAACAGTGACACAGCCCCCACTGCCTGGCGGGACAGGGAACACGCGGCGACCTCGGCACAAACATAAATAGGAAAAAGACTCTTTTTTTTTCAAAAAAACAACAAGAATTCAGAGCTTTCCAGTGTCACAGCTCAGAGAAAATTAAAAAAACAAACAAAAAAAAAAGTCATGCTTAAGGTTTCAAATATTCCTCAGACACAGCAAACCTAAATAGTATTCAGTTAAATAAATGGATGAGATACTCTGGGAAACGGAGGGAAAAGCTTTCAACTAAAAGAGGGAGGAAAATTTTCTTTCAATAAACAGCACTTTTTCTTTTTTATACACAACAAGCGAGTACAAGAAAAGGCTAAAAACACGGCTCTAGGAATGGCCACTTCCTGGGGCTATGAAGATTTCCCCTTCTTAAATAACACAGGGAATTGGGAATACATCATTTACAAAACACGGAGCGGTTTATTATTCCAATTAGTGTTGTCAATCATAATTTAGCGAGGTGGAACTGAGGTATACCTGGTTGAGGGAGGTTAAGTAATACTTGGAAGCCTCTTTGCTCTATCCCATTGATTACTCTTGTTTCTGTACACGGAACAGCAGCACACGGAACATTCACAAGCTGTGTCGTAGTCGCATTACAATAGTCATTTTATAAACAACAATGAATGCAATAAAAACAAGTTACCCTTTTTTTGTTGGTTTTTTTTTGTTGTTGTTTTTAAATCTGAAATGAAATGTTTTTGATTTAAAAAAAATAACAGCAGTTCATTTAAAGGAATTAGTCTCTTCTGACAGGGATTAAGAAATCGGATGTCAGTGTTTAAAACGCTCGTTTAGCCCGTGCGGGTCCGGATTCTTCATTGTAAGTTCCTTATCAGCACGTGAGGGGTTCTCAGTCACGTCCTTCAGGTGTAAGCAGGGAATGCAGAAAGTCTCATGGATCCACGTTGAAGAGGAGGAGGAGGAGGAGGAGGGGGAAAACAAAGGATAAACACCTCTTGGTGATGTTCCAGAGAGACTTACCATCCGTCCTTGCCACCCGGAACAGCGGTGACGCCAGCAGTCCGTGCGCTGTAGCAGCTCCAGTGAAGAGTCCTGTGGTCACTTCCATGACCAGTGCAACTATCATAGACTGGATTCTTTGGGAGGAAAGTCAACGTTTGTCACCATTGTGACCACAGTCACGATGTCCTCTGTTGTTATAATGTTAGTGAGTTTTTGCATCTGGATGATCCTCTCCTCCACGCAGCCCGCGGACAGCCGGGCCTCGGCGTCGTGATCCCAGCACTCCTCGATGGTCTCGCACAGCATGGCCATTCCCTGCGGGGATCCAGGCAGGAGAACTGTCACACACCCACGGGGACAAAGGGGGGGCCACATCAAAAATGGCATTTTAAGGGACACCTGGCAGATGGGAACCTCTGTGTGCCACAGGACGTGGGGCTGGGTGTGAACCTGGAGTGCCTCAGCTCTGCTTTGTTCTGCACCACTGAACAAAAGCTGTTCAAGCACAGGGGACAAACCCTTCCCTGCACTGCTGGAACCCCCCCAGTGTTTTAAAAAGGTGAACCACTCAGCCCCCAACCGGAACTTCACTGAAAACTACTCCAGGATCTCTTCTTCCACCAAGAAATGGAACTAATCACTTTCTAAACTGCAGAAAGAGCAGTTTAAGATGAGGAACAGCCCGTTTAACTCCTCCTGGAATTACGAAACCCCTCCCAAACCCCGGTGTGATGGACACAACGTGGCACAGACAGAAGGTGGGATTCAAATCCTTGCAGCAGTAGGTTGGCTCACTTACAGAATGTTTCTGCCAACACTCCCTTAGGACAGGCCTCTTCTTTTTGTGCACCACAACTTCCTGCATGTCCTCCAGGGAGGGGTGCTGGCCAATCTCCTCCTCGAAAGGCAGCATGTACTCATCCACGGGGCCTGCAGAGGGAAACCCAGTTAAACCAACCCTTTGGAAAAGGGAAAGAGAAGGTGGCATGTTGGGAATGGAGGCCAGCATCAGAATCCCGCAGTGCTTTGGGTTGGAAGGGATTTCCAGCCCACCCAGTGGGCACCTCCTGCTGTCCCAGGCTGCTCCAAGCCCTGTGCAAGCCGGGGCACTCCCCCAGGGAAGTTCCTCACCGTCGGCGGCCGTGCAGCGCGAGGCCAATTCCCAGAGCACCAATCCCATGGCGTACATGTCTATCCTCAGGAACGCGTCCCTCTGGAAGTTGATGGCTCCCTCCAGCACCTCTGGAGCCATGTAGCGCCGGGTGCCCACCTGCAAGGGCACCAAAACACCCACATTTGTGTCCAGAGCCAAGCCCAGCCCGGGCACCACCCCGCCCCCTGCCAAACAAAACCCGGCCTTTGCCCCGGATTAAACACGGCCACGGTTGTTCCTGACTTAGGACTGAACCTTGGAAGTTTCATCCTTCAGTTTCTGAACAGTAATGAAATAATTAACAAAATATTATGGAAGTTCTTGTCCAAATTGTCCACTCGGGATAAAAGGGGGAACAGGCCATGCAATGAGCCGGAGGGGAAATTCCCATTCACATCCAGGTAACAGCCGGATCACTCCTGGAAATAACTCGGGATTTACCTGTCCGTGGGTGTCTCCTGCAGACTTTCCAGCCTCAAACTTTAAAGCTAGACCGAAATCAGCAATACAAGCTGTGAGGTTGTTTTTCAGCAGTACATTCTTGCTTTTGATGTCCCTTTCAAGTTCAAGAAAAAAAACCACAAATTAGAGATTTGGAACACAAAATACAGATAAAACCCTAAGGAAAAAGAAACGGCATAAAACAAAGAAGATTATGGTATGATATTTTATGATTATTATTTTGTTGCTTAACTTATCTATTTCTTTATCATTTATCAGCAAAATGATAAAGAAATAGCAAACTTAAACAACAAAATAATAATCATAAAACCTCAGAGTGCCCTTGCAAACCTTCATCTTTATGGGACTAATGAGACACTAATGGGGAAATGTAATTTTGTGTTTGTGTTTAAAATAAATACAGATTTATGGTGGATATAGGGATAGATGGATATAGATGATGCAGGAGGGATA